TATGGCAAAAAAGTCATAAAAACATCATAGTATAGTAAGGCCTAAAAGTCATAAAAATGACATAGTATAGTATGGCAAAAAAAGTCATAAAAACATCATCGTATAGTAAGGCATAAAAACTTATAAAAACGTCATAGTATAATAAGGAATAGGAAATTATAGTAAAGTATTGCATAAAAAGTCATAAAAACGACATAGTATAGTNAAGTCAGAAAAATGACAGTATAGTAGGGCATAAAAAGTCTAAAAAACGACATACTATAGTAAGGCATAAAAAGTCATAAAAAAGTCATAGTATAGTATGGTAAAAAAAGTCATAAAAACATCATAGCAATGCATAAAAAACTGTAAAAACATAGTATAATAAGGAATAGGACACCATAGTATAGTATGGTATAAAAAGTCATAAAAATGACAGTATAGTATGGCATAAAAAGTCGAAAAAACAACATAGTATAGTAAGGAATGAACATGCATGAAGATGTCATAGTATAATAAGGCATAAAACAATGTAATATAGTAAGGCATAAAAACTCATAAAATCGACATAGTATAGTATGGCAAAAAAAGTCATAAAACATTATCGTATAGTAAGGCATAAAAACTCATAAAATCGACATAGTATAGTATGGCATAAAAAGTCAAAAAAACAACATAGTATAGTAAGGAATGAACATGCATGAAGATGTCATAGTATAATAAGGCATAAAATAACATGATATAGTATGGCAAAAAAGTCATGAAAATGACATAGTATAGTATGGCAAAAAAAGTCATAAAAACATCATAGTATAGTAAGGCACAAAAAGACATAATAACATCATAGTTTAGTAAGGCATAAAAATGTGTAAAAATGTCACAGTTTAATAAGGAATAGGACATCATAGTATAGTAAGGAATAAAAAGTTATAAAAACGACATAGTATAGTATGGCAAAAAAAGTCATAAAAACATCATAGTATAGTAAGGCTTAAAAGTCATAAAAATGACATAGTAGAGTATGGCAAAAAAAAGTCATAAAAACATCATCGTATAGTAAGGCATAAAAACTTATAAAAACATCTTAGTATAATAAGGAATAGGACATCATTGTATAGTAAGGAATAAAAAGTCATAAAAACGACAGTATAGTATGGCATAAAAAGTCATAAAAACATCATCGTATAGTAAGGCATAAAAACGCATAACAACGTCAAAGTATAATAAGGAATAGGAAATTATAGTAAAGTATTGCATAAAAAGTCATAAAAATGACATAGTATAGTAAGGCACAAAACATCATAAAAACGACACAGTATAGTATGGCATAAAGATGACACAATATAATGAGGTATAAAAAACGTCATAAAAATGTCATAGCATAGTAAGGCACAAAAAATTACATAGTATAGTAAGGTATAAAAGACATCATGTTATGGTTAGGCATAAGAACGTCACAGAAAGGGAAGGCATAAAAAATGGCATAGTATAGTAAGGCATAAAAAACGTCAAGACTGTCTTCCTATGAAAAACGAGCAGACAGGTCGTTTGTGCAGCAGCTTATCATGACCCATTGTTACGTCCTTTTCTTAGGCGACATCTAGTGGTTGTAGTCTTCATGATAGCATCAAAGGGGAAAGTGCTGTTCAGTAGTATAAAGAGTGAAAAACGTCCACATCAGGAGGAGGTTAGGGTGGATGGATGGGTCAACAAAACACAGGAATTTGACACAGGAGATCAATGTTCGATTCCCTTGAGAAAGCAGTACTTTATTATCCATGACCATTCGTTGTCATTATTGTAACCATTTCAACAAAGATCGCCTGATGTTGAGGAAGTACTTATTTTAACCCAAATCATGATATTTTCCTAACCGTAACCAAGTAGTTTTTGTACCTAAACNAAACGATATAGTATAGCATGGCAAAAAAAGACATAATAACATCATAGTTTAGTAAGGCATAAAAATGTGTAAAAATGTCACAGTTTAATAAGGAATAGGACATCATAGTATAGTAAGGACTAAAAAGTTATAAAAACGACATAGTATAGTATTGCATAAAAAATCATAAAAACAACATAGTATAGTATGGTATAAAAAGTCATAAAAATGACATAGTATAGTAAGGCACAAAACATCATAAAAACGACACAGTATAGTATGGCATAAAGATGACACAATATAATGAGGTATAAAAAACGTCATAAAAATGTCATAGCATAGTAAGGCACAAAAAATTACATAGTATAGTAAGGTATAAAAGACATCATGTTATGGTTAGGCATAAGAACGTCACAGAAAGGGAAGGCATAAAAAATGGCATAGTATAGTAAGGCATAAAAAACGTCAAGACTGTCTTCCTATGAAAAACGAGCAGACAGGTCGTTTGTGCAGCAGCTTATCATGACCCATTGTTACGTCCTTTTCTTAGGCGACATCTAGTGGTTGTAGTCTTCATGATAGCATCAAAGGGGAAAGTGCTGTTCCGTAGTATAAAGAGTGAAAAACGTCCACATCAGGAGGAGGTTAGGGTGGATGGATGGGTCAACAAAACACAGGAATTTGACACAGGAGATCAATGTTCGATTCCCTTGAGAAAGCAGTACTTTATTATCCATGACCATTCGTTGTCATTATTGTAACCATTTCAACAAAGATCGCCTGATGTTGAGGAAGTACTTATTTTAACCCAAATCATGATATTTTCCTAACCGTAACCAAGTAGTTTTTGTACCTAAACCTAACCAAGCCATTACTGTTATTATAGTAACCCTGGCAATGTTCGGTATGCTGCCCTTGGTACAGCTGAGTTTTTACTATGGTAATCATGACAACTGAGGTCTGGTATGCATGCTGCTGTAGGGGCGCTATGTCAGGAGACACTCCTATGGGGCATATTTGAGGGTAGAAACAAACGACAGACATGCTCATAAGGATTGGAGGACTTGTTGGAGAGAGAAGACGTCTTAGTATAGTAAGGTATAAAAACGTTATAGTATAGTAGGGCATTAAAAACGTCATAAAAATGTCATAGTATAGTAAGGCATAAAAATGTAATAAAAACGCCATAGTTTAGTAAGGCATAAAAAACATCATAGTATGGTAAGGCAAAAAAAACCTCATAGTATAGGAAGGTATAGAAAACGTCATATTATAGTAAGGCATAATGAACGCCATCAAAATGTCATAGTATAGTAAGTCATAAAAACGTCATAGTATAGAAAGGTATAAAAAGCGTCATAAAAACGTCATAGGGCATAAAAAATGTAAGAAAATTGATTCACAAATTTCTGTTTGAAAATTGTGAGTAAATAAATATTCACAAATGTTTTTAATTTATTTGTAAATTAATTGAATGTATTCACAGATTTTTTAGATAAGATAATTTGTTTATTTGTCGACTTTGTGTATTTGCCAATCTGCTTTACAGAGATAGCCTTTGCAAATTCATTTTTTGTAGGCCTATTTGTGGAAGGTGTTATATATTTACAGATTACACATTTACGCATGTATTGTTGATCTTTTCACACAAATAATATTGAAACAAATCTACGTCCATAGCTTAGTCCCAGATAACGTATCAGAGATGGTTTCTTGCTTTGTGGTTGTGCTCAGATCAGTAATGTCTGCCCTCTGTTATTGCATTTCATCAAACTTGAAACCGTATTTACTTAAGACATGATGATTGACTTTATTTCACTGACAAGTTTGATGACTGTTGTGAAATGTAGAGGAGAGGGTGAAGCTGAATAAAAGCTACTTGCGGTGACACTGGTGAAACATTTTGTTAGGTCACTGCACCTGCCAATGAATTTCAGAATAAAAGGAGGACACAGGTGTGCACATACTAAGTTGCTTTTATTAATACAGAACTGCATGCTACAGAGACTGTACAGCATAAACATTTATTCATTACAAAAAAACATGGTTTTGGAACCATTTAAAATAACAGGAAAAAACAAACAAACAAAAAGATAAGAGCATAAAATAGAACAGGAACATCACAGCCGTTAAGGAAACATTCAAACTATTTATCATTAGCATCTTAATAAACCAGAGAAGAAATCGACAGATTACAGTCGCGTCATGTCAACTACAATGGCACCGAGTGGATGATTCTCTTGTAGCTTTTTTTACAGCCTCTTGCAACATCAACATGCCTATTTTTTCTATCTACCTATATGTAGTAGTGTATTTAAAAGTGGCAGTTTGTGTATTTTTTTGTATTTAATAGTTTTTTTATGAACCTCCTAATATACATAATTTGGCCCTTGTGGGTTTATACAGTATGATGTCCGTCTTTTTATTAAGTTTAAATTTTAATATTTGACAATTTGCTACCAAACACATTTGTTATAGCAACATTTATACTACATACATAGCAATCTATGTAACGTCACAGCAAAGAATGGTATCGAAATAAAAAAAAAACAAAAACAAAACAAACAACAACAAAACAAAAAAAAAAAAAGATCCCTACAGTATGGTTAGAGGGGCAGAGAAAATTATCACAAAATTTGGCACGGAAAATCTGTACACGAATCTACAGTCTGAGAGATGTGACTGTGCAATAAAAAAGAAGGGCTTTAGACACTTTTCCAACTACTGAAGACACGGTACCCACTGTCTCTTGTTTCAAGTTTTCTTTTCTTCTTTTTGTAAAATGGCTTATAGACGCATTTCTTGAAATGAAGTTGTGCATACTTCTGTTCATGAGATCTACACAGTACACTGAGTGGAATCCAGGTTTTCAGCGAGGAAAGAAATCAATAACAAAAGATTTGCCTTTTAAAACCTCCTTGTAAAAATGGATCATTCATATATAAGTCGCTTACCTTAAGAAAAAATATTTGTACAATGTATTAAGAAAAAAAAAAGTCAAAAAGAGACACATACAAGATACAACAAGCAATCTCTAAAGCAATAAATACTACTGGTCCTAGCGTTGTGACATTTTGAATTTAATAACCCGCGTCCCTCCCACCCCGACCTCCCCTCAAGCCCACCCAACTTGCCTGACTCCACCCCAAAGGTAAACAACAAAGAAAAAAAGACAACGCAGTGGAAGAATGCATATTTAACACAGTAATCCCCCCCCCTCCCCATTATTCTGTACATTTAAACAAGAACAAGTAACATCACAATTAAAGTTGTTCCTCAGAGAGGTGTCACCGCTAGCCTCATGCCCTCCTAGAGTTTGAACAGATGTCAAATGATTGGTTCGCAAGCTCGTATTTAATACAAATAAAGAAGGAGAACCAACTCTTTCAAGAAAAGGGCTCATTGAATAATCTAGCCTACCTTTTTATATCCGTCTTTTAAACATTTTGAAGTTGAACTAGATAATTTTTCTGTTTGCACTGTTTAACACTACAAAAAAGACAAAAACAAAATTCATAAAAATTTTGGCAGATTCACAAAGCTATACTACAGCTCATTGTATCATTTCTTTATAATAATTAGATTTTTTGATAATGATGGGTCAAATATTGACCAATGAACCTTAATAAAACAAAAACTAAAATTTCAAAGCCTTATGGCACAGGAACATAAAGAGAAAAGAACTGACGGCAAGTGAAATATAGCATAGAGAGGGCCTAGAAAGGTGTGTGTGTGCAGAGCTAGAAAAGAGGAGAAGAAGAATAGGGTAGACTATTCTATAGACTTGGTCACTAGCGACAGAGGCTGAGGGGCTGTGGAGGGGAGGAGCGAGTGGGAATGACACAGCGATGCCGAGGGCCGGGCCATTGAGGACGCCACAGAGGAGCCCGGCTGCCGCGAGGACGAGACGTCACCGTGCTCCAGGGCTCCGTTGTGGGAGGGGGCGCCCGACGTTTTGCTAGCTGCAGCAGAGTTTTCCAGCTGAACCAAAGATGGCGGTGGAGGCCCAGCCAGGAGGTGCGGGTGGTGGAGTGGCTGGTGGGCCGGTTTCATAGTCAGTGAGAGAGGTTGCATTTGTTCAGTCTGAGGTTTGGACTCTTTTGAGGAGGGGGAGGGAACCACTGAGGAGGGGGAGGATGGGGGGGAGTCTAGTAAGCTTCCGTCCGTAGAGGGAGGACTGGCACAGCTGCCTTCACCTTGGATGTAGCGAATGCACTTTTTTTTTCTCCTGAGGGACAAGGCAAGAGAAAGAGAACGTCTTTTAACATCACATCTTCAGACTGCATCGCCTCTTAGCACTGTTGCTGACTTAAATGCACCTCTGCCTTTTAAATTAAGCACACGAAACTGGTTTTACACAGCAGATAGTATTTTGCAGTGGTGCTTTTAAGCAGCTTTATAAACCTCGTGCTAAGAAGAAAGGTGGCACAAATGACAGTTTCCAAACATTTAAACCATCAGACAGGACGGACATGAAGGAAAGATCACAGGTGAAGCAGCAGGGAAATGAAAAGCACACACAGAGATGATGAGGATGATGATGAGAGGACGAAATGAGGCAGAGTAGATGTAGTAGTGGACGCTCTCTGGATGTAAACTCAAGCCTTTCTTAAAGGCAAGAGCTACAGCTGGGGATCAGCCTGTTCTCTCCAGCAAACACGAGGTTACTGGACCTGTCTCACTCCTCGACTTCTATCTGGCTCTACTCTCTCTTCTCCTGAGGGGACAGAGTTTGGATACAAGGCGAAAAAGTCAACAAGATCCACACTACCCTGCATCTGCCCCACAGACACAAGTGTGTGTGCGTGAGGGGTCAAGGCATCATGTTTGCATTCCTGCCTGGGGTCGGGACCCCTCCCCCTGCCTGCTGAGTCCTGGGGCCAGGCCCGTTGCGCTCAGTGGAACCCAATGAACGAGCATGGGAGGGGAGGGAAAGGGGGAGTTAGGAGTGTAAGGGGATTGTTGCATTTATCTGTGGTGACTCTTCTGCGAGGGATGTGTTCAGATTTGGTTAAGGGGGAATCTCTGCCCACCTCATCTTTACCCTGACCCTGGCAGTGACCCCTCTCCCAGCTCTCCATTCTATCACAAGGATGCCTGAAGGCCATAGAGTAATAGTATTTAAGACTCATAGGGACAGGGAGTAGTAAGGCTGGTCTGCTGTTTAATCTAAGTTGTCAAATCGAACCACTTCCTGTAATTCTGAAGGGGAAAAACTCTACATAAACACAAACAGAGAGAGCAGATTACTGAGAATGGAAAAGAAGAGGGACAGCGGCAAATCACAGAGAAGGGCTCAACAAAACCTTGATCGCATGCTAGGCTGAAAGACAGTCATGCATTTCCAATAAGCTCAACAGTACAAGCACACAACACCAGACAGTATAGAACACTAGAAAAGTCTAGAAAAGAGTGGGTGGGGAGGGATAAGGCTTTTAAGTGGATCCTAAGCTGATACTGTAACACTGGGTGGTGCGGAGTATCGACCGGGCGTGAAAAAGGTATCGTCTTGCCGCTACATACACATCTTGCTCTCTAACTAGCTGTCAAACTGCAACAAATGAGCTAATATCCATTTTTTAACAGACATATCGATTCATAGTATGTGCCTGTGTATGTTATTGATTTCTCCGTCTCGGGGGATATTACACCAGATGCATCTTTTAGGAAATGGAGCCCAGAGAGAACTTTTAACCTCTCGGCTCCAAAAAAAAAAAAAAAAACCCCAAAAAACCCCACAAAGACTGAATTATCGCTCTTCCCAGACCCCTGATCTCATGATCTCCTTTTATTGTTTAAGGAATAATGCAATATTTTTGATAATGTGTGTATCAGCTGGAAGGGAAATAAGAGAGCCGAGTGGGAACACCAACACTGTCGGACTGTGCGGAGATGAGTGATTGCAACATCCTACTTATTTCAAAGACAAGTTGAATACAGTAAAAAGCATAGGTGATGTGTTCAATTCTTGTGGGACAATCTGCTGAGAATCACCTCTTAATGTGATCATCTGACTAAACTTCTGATTTCCAGCCTGTCCATATAAAACAATACAAATGAAACTTGGTGACGAACAATGTGTTGCAATGGTTGGTGTTGGAAGAGTTGTGTAAAGAAAGAGTGGGGCAGGGTGTGGTGCAAGCCAGACACAGAGAAGGGTATTACTTAGCAGAAACAAATACCTACCATGAAAATATTCCCAATTCAAAGACTGCTTGTGTCAGAACAGAAAGACAACAGGTAGGGACTAAGTAAGGGTTATTGAAGAGGAGTTTGGAGGAAGAAGAGGTGGAGAAGGAGGAGGAAGAGGGCACAGAAAAGAGTGTCACTGAGCAGGCCCTCAGAGAAAGCAGGGCTAAATTTGTAAGCATAACATTGTTATTCAAAAGGGCGCCAATTAGAACATACATGACAGTTAAGATGGGAGGGAATTATCCACTGCCTGCAGAGAAAATGGATTTCAACCATAACAAGTCAAGATTGGAAGAAAGGTTATTCCAAATTACATTAGGAAGCCGTGATGTTACAGCTCACAGATATCTTGTTGTGATAAAATATTCAGTAATCTTATTTAGAAATCCATTTTCTGCCACTGGGCTTGAACCAAGTTCAATGAAGGAAAATTGCTGTGAGGAAATTTATAGCAGGAAGCTCCTCGGTAAGGAAGAGGAGCAGAGGAGTTTGCCATCTGTTACCACACTGATGGAAACATGTTTTAGAGGGATATCTGAGCAAATAATCAAGGAGAAGAAGCTGCTCATTGTGGATGTCTTCCTCCCATTGGTACTACAGCAGTTATACCTGCATGGTTTGCACCATAAACTCAGCTGGTCAAGCCCGAACAAGGCACGACACTTCTTTGGGGTATTTGCATCTGTTAGCCAAAGAGGTAGACACAAACATACACACAGAGACAAAAAAAAAAGAAAAAGAAAGAAAAAAAGAAAATGGACACGTCATTGCACAGACAAAAACATATAACCAGGGCTTAGGTTTAGGCTGGCAACACTGGGATGTCCTCCATATTGACCAAGCCATCAGGCTCCAGATCCTCCAAGCCCCGACCTGCCAGTTTAGGATTTCTGACCAATCTCAGTGAGGCTTATTGTACTGTACATCCTGCAATGAAACCCCTGTAACCCCAGAAGTATTTCTTAATCAAACACATACGCACAGACACCATTCATACAAACACTCTGGCATGTGCTGTTAATACCCTTCTTCCCAAACAGGAGGTAAGAATAAAATAGTGGGACCCTACAGATAGACCGGCAGGGCGTGGCTGGAGGGAGCTGAGAGGTCACGATAGCCTGGCGGGACAGACAGACGGAGGGGAGGGAAGAGAGGAGGAAGAAGAAGAAGAGGTAGCAGCAGCATAGAGCAGAGGGAGGAAGTCCCAGCGTAGATTACCCAGCCTTCACCTGGCCCTGGCCAGTGCAAGCACACACCATACACACCTGCACGGGCCACACCAGTTATTCTGTTGATCGAGCCCAAAGCGCGCTCGACACTTCTTAGGAGCGCTCAGGTCTGATGCCGCAACAGGGAAGGGAAGCCAGCAGAGAGGATGAATAGAACCATAACCCAAAAAAAAAAATAAGGAAATCAAAAGGAGGAGAGAAATAAGGAGAAAAAACAGATAACAGTGAATCTATGAAGCTTGGCAGTGGCTCATTGTGCAAGAAATCCCCCCCAAAAACCCCCTTAAAGCCATTCTCAAGTGTGCCTTTCAAGATAGGACTGAACACAATTAGTGTGTTTCAGATATTAGTAAAAAAAATCAAAATGCATGCAAATTATCAAATTATGATATTAATATGGAAACAGTCGCTTTCAGTCATGTAATCTAAATTCTGACTGGAGTTAAAGCTGGAAGATAAGAGGGCTTATTTGGTTGAGAGGGTATAAATGGAGCAAATGCAGATTGGATTAATTTACTGCTAGATGTTATCGGTGCACTATGGTCTCAAAAAGGCAAGGTCAAGGTGGGAGAACTAGGCAGCAGGAGCAGATTGCTAAAACAGCACGGTCGTGAGTTAGCCCTAGCCAGGGGAAGGATTAAAAAGGCTGGAACCTGAAGAGGGAATCTACTCCTCAGACCTGGCATCAAACAGTTGACTGTTTTCCACCAGCATTGGCTGTCGGTCGCAGAAAAGCTGCCAGTCACTTGCTAACTCTACCCAGTAATCATGTCATTATCAGAAGTAGAGCAGTGTGACTGTGTGGTGGAGTGTTTGAGCCCAGGCCTCGTCTGAGTAGAGACAGATTTATAAAAAAAGGGGGGGGGGGGGGGGGGGGTCGGCCAAACTCATGCTGGCCTATAGGAGAGGCACAAGCGCAGCTACTGAAGCATATAGATTAAGGAGGTTTACCCTGACACCATCCTTCAGGTCATACTCCACAATGATAATCTACCTTTATATTATCACTTCCTCAAGCATACTGCATAGTGGCTTTACCAAAATACGGACAATGCTCCAAACTAAGTAGCAACATGAGTAAATGGAGGTAAAGTAAATGGAATTTAACCTAGCTTCAAGTCAAATAGACAATAGCAACATTTTAAGAAAAGGAAGCAGCAAACAAAGCATAACATAGACTTTAAGTTTAAACCTGCCTAATATTAAACATTCATGGATAAATAAATAAATAAATAAATAAATATACATTAATTAAAAAAAAAAAAAGAAGAATAAAAACAAGTTAGTAATTTAATACTCAAAATGACATTAGCACCTGTAATCGGAGGGAGTGAAAGGCAAGGGTTTGGAAAATATTCTCTGTGTTCTGAAAAAAAAGAACAGATAGAGAGGCCTTCAAGAAGAGATCCGTCACCAAACGAGCGCAAAATACATAATAACAAGTCGGCATTGCTCCTCACAATACGATCAGAAGAATATGAATCATAAGAATAAAAAAGAAAAAATGGATAAATCATAAGAGTTAGCAAACCTCCTTAATTTTAAGATGTAAGTGATTTTTTTTGGTCTTTTGTTGGTATAAAAGCATGCATGAAAGCAAGCAAGGGGCAGCCCAACAAGCACGCACGCACATGCACAGTCGCACAGACCCACAATCACACGCACGCAAACACACACACACACACACACAGTACAGTAGTGCAGTCTATCTGCAGGCCACAGGCATTATAAAAAAAAACAGGGCCGCATACACAACACTGGCAAAGTTAATGGCTCTCACAATGCTTCAACTTCACATTCTCAAAACACACATATCACAATACCAGAACGCTAAGGGGCAAAGTGGGGAGGGGAGGGGAGGGGAGGGGCAGGGAGGGGGGGGGTGTCAAGAGGGGAGTGAGGAGGAGTGATTGGGGAGGTCATGCATATTTCAGTTGTTTATTAGCTAGGGAAAATGGGAAAAGGGGGTATTACAAGCAACTCTACTATTTAAATATTGCATTGGGTAGCATAACTATACCAAAAAAAAAAAAAAAAAAAGGAGAAAAAAAGCCAGGCACAATAACATACACACACACAAAAAAACATAACACAAAAAAACTAGCTTGACTTTTATCTTGCAAGATGTCACATCTGCCTGACACATGATGGGGCTCTTCTAATATGAGAGATAATTGCAGCTCACTTACCATTGCTCTCTGCTTGCTGCTTTTCCCTTTTTCTCTTCTTCCTTTTCCCCTGTTGGTTAGCCGCCAAAAAAATAGAAAGAAAAAAATAGACACAGACAGGAACCTTAGTTATTATATTGCAGAATGCCCAAAACATGAAACAGAGAATAGGACTCATCTTTGTGTTTACTTATTTATTCATTCATTCTTTCTCTGCCTTTTTTTTTTCTTTTTTTTTTTTCTCTTTCTGTCTCTGCCCTCCGGTTTGTAACAGCCACTGCAGGCCAGACCCGAACTCTCCCTCCTCGCTCTGCTTTCTGTCTTTTTCTTCTTTTTCTGTTATCTTTTGTCTTATTTTCCTCTTCTATGTGAACATCTAGACATCTTGACGGGCTTCTGGTTTGGAGGACAGATTTCTCTAAGGCTGCTCGTGGAAGTCTCCACTGGTCAACTTGATCCCAAAACTGGACAAAAATTGATGAGAATCTGGGCGCTTATGTGTCAGAACAAAGTGTCTGGGCCGCGAAACATTCACCGAGGATTCGTATAAATAACACCATGTTTCCTTCGTGTCGTAACAAGATGGGCTTAGGTCAAGGCAATTTGTCCAGTCTCAGATATACATATCAAAAGAACATTACAGGAAAAGAGAGACCCCCCTCAGGCTAGGTAAGAAGAAAAAAAAAAAGCAAAAGAAAGAACTCGTCCTGGTCATGTGACCTAGTGAAAGGGGGAAAGACCAGGCCGTTACGACTTGTAAACTTAAAAACTTACATAGTTGTCTCGTGCTGACCAGCCTGGGTACAGCTGCATGTGGAGCTGTCGTTCTTTCCTGGCCAGCTCGTAGTACTTGGCCTGCTCCTCCCGCGATAGGGCGTGCCACTGTGCAACGGGAAACAAGACACAGAAAGAACACAATGAAAGTCAGGAAAAATAGAGATGTCCCGGTTGTTAACAGGACTTAAATCTACAATACTGGGCCATCGGGTCACCAAAAAAAACCCCATGATCCTCTGCGATAAGCCCTCCAGTTTGACCATGACAGTGCTGGTGTGTATCTGGAACTTACCCTCCGCCCCAGGATCTGGTTGATGGCAGCACTTTCCTTCAGTGTGCACTCGGCCACCACCTTGGCCCGCATCTCCTTCATGTAGAGCATGAAGGCATTCAGAGGCTTCTTTATGTGGACCTGTTTCTTTTTCTCCTCTTCCTTTTTAGCGTCTGTCTGTTTCCTGTGGAGGACCATATAGGGCAGGAAGGTGAGCACAGTTGACCTCTGGCTGCTTCTAAAGTCATATCAGACTGAAAAAGTGATTGTAAGGCAGAGAAAAGTCTACTCACGAGCTGTTGAGAGAGCTGATGTCACTGTGGGAGGATTCCTGCTTGACGTTGGGTGTGACGATGGCTGGGTGTGGGATGCCCGTGGTGTGCAAACTGTGGTGAGGGGGCACCATGTGTGGAGGGAACCTAGAGGACAGAAGACTGTGTAAATCGTCAGAATGGACACGGGTGAAATGAGAAGATGGAACACATTTATACACAAGACTGCGTAGCTGAGGCTGAATTCCATTCCCATCTTTCAATGGCATATCAAAGCATTCAGTGCTTTTTTCAATTTTCTTCACAGGAATGGAATTGGCCTTTAGCCACGAGACATAAATGCACATACACACATCCACGTAAAAATGTCCAAGGCTGATTCCCGTATTATTGTTCACCAATTAAGATAATTTTTACTTTTGTACTCAAAACGAGTGTCAGGTCAAATGTCAAGCAATTTAATTTGAGTGCAGAATCAAGCCCGGGCAACTATACACTTCACACAAAGGTATAACATTAAATCATGGCAAACTATCAGTAAAATATTTGCAAAATCTATATTGTGTGGCAATAGGTGAGTGCAATTGCACAAGGATAAATCAGTGTTTAACCCCCACCCACCCGCGCACACACACACGCGCACACACACACACAACCCTATATTGAGCCTTGTGCTCTTTTCTACCTTTATTTAATCACAGCCTCACTGGGATTAATAATCTCTATGAAGAGTGTCCTGACAAATACAGGCGACAATTCTTGTCATACATTCATTGAAGCGGGTTTGCTTAAGGACTCGATGCACCTTTTCTATTCACTGTTAGTCTGTGTAGACTGATATGTCAGTGCCATCCTCAGCTTTTATTAGTGCTCAGGCACCTCAGATCTAAAAGAACCCCTTTCATATTAGGTTTATCCCTGCCTTAATAACTCATTTTCTGTCTTTCAGCCATAGGTGACAAATGCACATTACATAACTTCAGTTCTTTGTAATGCATTTTTTGCAATTACACAGATATGAAAAGGCCAGGTTTTTACAGGCTTGAGCTGTTATCTCCTATGAAGGAATATTGAAACTAGGATAAGATGTTCTATCAAAGTCCAGTATCACTTCAGGTACTGGGTCTCTATTTGCTTCCTCCCATTCCTTTCTGCCAATTCAGCACTGTCAGCAGCTCTGACATTTTTATCTTCATCCCTCCACACTCCTATCATCATTTCATCATCTCCAACAACTCCATATATCGAGGCCAGAAACCCTTATTTATGAAATCGCTTCACTGGCCACAACAGCCATGAGACGCTGCTGTTCAGTATGTGCCAGTGTGTGTATGACACTAATTATTTTGTGTGAGATTATTTGAACGTGCGCACGTCTATCTGCATGTGTATGTTTACAGCGCAGGGCGCCGCGGCTCCACGTGACCACACACAAATTTAAGAGAAGAGAGGAGGATGAAGGAGAAGAGAAAAAAAAAAGGAGGAATAATTCTTCTTCTTTTTTTTTTTCTTTTCTTTTCTTTTTTTTTTTTTTAAAGCAGCTCATTATCCAGCTGTGTCTGGCTGCATGGCTCCGAGCCAGAATATAATGATGAGGATAAACTTGCCAGGAACAACTAGTTTCTGTTGGAGGCCATCTCAGGGGAGTGCCAGTGCGCTCCCCCCTCAAACTCTTTCCCTCTTTTTCTCCTTTCCCCTCTTCTCCCTTCATCACTGACACACTGGTGTTTGTGCCATGTCATCCGTTGATGGGGAGCTCGGCAGCAGTGGCTGCATATCGCCCATCATTAGGGCTGCCGCATTTTCTTCGCTCACTCCGTTTCCTCTCTCCCTGTTCACCCTCCCTCCTTCTCTCTCTGTGCACTTGTTAAAATTTCCTCTGTTCCAAGATCTATTTTTTTTTCTCTCCTCTTCTTCTTCTTCTTCTCTACTCCTCCCTGTCCCCTCACCACCTCCACGCTCCTTCGCTTCCTCTCTCCCTCCCTTTCCTCCTCCTGCTGCCACTGCATGGCCCAGGTTATGGTTTAAACATGACGGCCATCCCTTTGAAGCGTGGGGGCATCATCATCATCATCCGGGCTCATCAGCAGCAAGCAGCGCCTTGGACCAATTTAACCAACACAGAGAGGGAGACGCAGCGGAGACCCCCCAACCCTGGGGCTCCTACGTCTCAATCTGAAAGGTAAGAATGGCTGGCGGTGTTGGGGTAGGGGTGAGGGGGAGGGGGAAGGGGAGGGGGGTCACTGGCGCAGCAAGCCCAGTGTCAGCCAGTGCCATTTAATTGCCAGTGCGAAGCAGTAGCCCCCGTGCCTGTTTAATGTATAATGATCCGGCCGGTGCACTTCTCCTGTTCCCCAGGAAAAGAGAGGGAGCAGGATGATGGGGGAACATATCAAAGGGCAGGCTTAAGCATAAGGGGCAAAGGGGCCTTCACATCCTCCCACCTGTCACACATACACTCACACGCACACACACACACACACAATATAAGGGACCTGCACTGGCTCCAACCCCATTATCAAAATAATGTCTTTCATTTGCTCCGCTGACTGTCTCCACTCGCCTCGGCTCTTTTTCCTCCCGTCCTAAAAGAAATGTATTTTAAACAGGACCTAGGTGTAAGGTTGCTCATTGCAGGACTACGAGGTACCACGTTCACTCCCTGCATCCTAATTCAGTTCGGGCTACGGCGTCGGGGACTGATACCGAGGCAACGCTCTCCTGCAAAGACCTGGGTCCTGACAAGAGTACAAGGCCGGGATGTCTTTTCTCTCCTTTTCCCTCCAGTCAGCCTGCTCCCTACAAATTGTTTGAGCTATCACAACAGTCTGGTCCTTTCTTTGAACAAAACCAACTGGCTGAGGGCCATGTATGAAAGGAGTCTGCCATTTTGCTGACACAATTAGACAAATTGTTACTAGATTTTGTCAACAATTTGATTTTTTTCTCCTGCTGTCCCTGTCAAAGTCAGAATTTAGTTGTTTTTTTTCCCCCCATTCGTGAGGAGGGAGTTGGGGGATTTTTTTTTTTTTTAGATGTGTTAAACCCTCCCATTCTCCAGAGAGCTCCCAGAGCCCTCCATCTATTCAGTTATACTAATTCAATTAGGGGCCTCATCACAGGGCATTAGCTCTTCCCCATGGCCAGCCCCCCCACACCCCCGCCAGTATATTCAATTAGCTGCACTGGAAATAAGATGATCACAATGTAGAGGCTGTCATTAAGGGACCAAATTAGCAGTCACTTGAAGTCCAGGTTGGCTGGGTACCGCTGCCAGATGCCGATGTCTGGACAGACCCACCGTCTGACCCTTTGCACCTGAGACTTTCTCGGGATGGGCTGGGAGGGGCCAATCTGGCTCTTATCCAGACACCATTCTCCAGAATAATGTAAAAGTAACATTTGATACAAGATGCAAAGAGGTATGTAGAGTTTAACATTAAGGAAACAGCTGCAAGAACCTGAACTGAAGTGTCTGGGTGAGCTTACAAACTCTTTTCCCTCATTCTCAGGGCTATGCTTTTTAAACAAAAAAAAAAAAAGTCATCCCCCGTTGCGACTCCTCCCTGCCTCTACACGATCCATCAATGTCGCAGAGGTCTAAACACGCCGCCCTCAGGAGCTGCTTTTCCAATCAGGCTGTAATTAAACCAAAGCTTGGCCTCATCCCTAGACTCTAAACCAGCCCCGTTCCAAAAGTCCCACTGCTGCAAATGCATGTAGAGGGGAGCGGAGGGAGGAGAAGGAGGGAGGAGGAGCGGAGGGAGTGGAGAGAGTGGGAGGCTGTTTGTTTTTTGGGGGGTTTTTTGTGTTGTTGCTTTTCTGGCTCCTCCAGACCCACAAATCACGGGCTTTTAGCCATCTAAAATGAATTCTTTTCGCTTCCCACACAATATAGAGGACATGCGTCCCTCAAGGGAACAATAAGTAGTTTAACACCAACTGACAAACACACAGACATGTATACAAGATGGCAACAAATACACATACCCCACCACCCCATGGGTGCACTAATGTCCACAGCAGCACTTGAGTTGGGCCCTAATGGGCTGGACCAAAGCACTAGCCAAGTGCCAGGCCCCGACTTATATCATGTAGTCCCCTTCAAAGTGTTGCTGTGTTTGTTTATCTGTCTGGCTGCTGAAACTCACAGCAAGGACATGCCCTAGCTCATTTCAGATCTGCCTGACATGCAGTGGGGGTAAATGTTCTTCAGGGGCCTCATTAGAAAATGATAAATATAATTAATATTTGAGCATGCTAGCTGGAGCCCCACACTGGAGAATTGGCCTTTTGAACACAGAGACGGGGAGTGCGGGCTCTCCTTAAGGGAGAAGCTGCTGCTCACTGTCTCTGCATGCGAGTGTGCGTGCGTGCGTGTGTGCATGTGTGTGTGTGTGTGTGTGTGTGTGTGTGTGTGTTGCTCGTGAATTTGCCCCCTCACAGCCAACACGAACCCACACAACCGAATGTATGAGTAAGCGAGAAAAAGAGTGTGTGCGTGCGTTTTTAACTCCTAGGGCTCAACTCACCTTGACATGGATGCGTTGACAGTGAGCGCAGTTGGGTAGGGGTGTCTAAAACCCCCTGTTGTGATTGGATAAACAGGTTGACCTTGCCTGGGAAGGGGGAAGAAAAGAAGAAAGGCAAAAAAGGTAAAGGAACAGGGTTGACGGAGGAGGAGAAGGTAAAGCCCTCTGTCTCTCTTCTCTCCCCACTGTGGGCCTCTTTATTCTCATTTGATCAGGACAAAAATCTGGGGGATTGCAGAGCGCAGATCAAAGGGAGGAAAACTCTGAACAATTTGAATGCCACAAATCTTGATAGCAATGGCTAATTAAATTTCATAACCCTTCGCTCTGTGTCGACAGAGTGGGGCCCTGTTCCTCCCCAAGCTGGAACTAGGTGTTTTGTTGTGATAATTAAAGACGAAGCGCGGGTCTCTTTAATGGAGCCATCACGCTAATTGAGGTCTACACATCCAAAGACAAACAATAATGAATGTAAATTTATACCAAAATAAAGTGCAGCAAATCAAAGGGCGCCATGGCTGCGCTCGGGGCCTCTCTCGGTATTTAGATCGCGGTGAGAAAACATTAAATTAACAGAGCTTAATTTGTAGCCTTTTGTCATATTAACAAGTGTTGACAAGAGTTACCAGGGGAGAGCCCCCGTGTGGAATTGTGGGTAAAATACGGGCAATCACAGTTCATTACTCTAATTGGACCATACAGACACATGCAAAATAGTATTTGCCACAAAGTAGCGGGTTGAGGTTGGCGAGGGCCTGAGGAGGCTGCAGCGGGCTGTTGTGGTCCAGGAGTGAGTGCGTTAAAAAGTTCAGGGATCAAGTTTAAGTTTCCGAGGGGCCTCCGATTTAGAGAGAGGGCCCACTCTGGGGACCAGCAGGAGACAGAGACAGCTTCCATAATTGACTTTGTCTAGATAAAGACCAACATCCTGCTGCTACAGTGTACACATGTAAGGTAATATCTGCTTTTTATTGTTTCATTTTTTAATGCTTGATGATATACAATGTATGCTTATTAATCATTACAGTATGTGGGTGTTTCTAGCTTTTTATCACACAACTCATATGACAATACAGCAGAAAGAGGAAGGAGAAAAAAAAGGATTTGCTTACTGTGGTACTAACCATCCTAGCGGATGGGGGATCTGGCCGACAGTGCCAGGTGACAGTGGGTAATAAGGAGATATATCTGGAGGATGTGGAGGCCTTGGAATTCCTGTGGAAGAAAGAGGATGATAGGAGCAGAGAGGAGGTGGTCAGACAAGATGATGACAGAGAGAGAACCAAATCTTTGTCAGCGCTGAATTCATTCTTTGTTGAGAGTTTCACATCTGAACAGGGCAGACATCACAGGAGTGCAGATGGGAGGAAGAGGGCTTGTTGCTCGCATGTACACAGTGCTAAATCACACTCCCTGATCAAAGGCCTTTGAGGCGGCAGCAGCGGCGGCAGCACAATGTGTTGGAAGAGGCAGAGGGGAGAGAGGTGAGGAGAAAACACCAACACGATTCTTGTTACATTTGTCTACTGAATCAGAAGATTAATGATATAAAATGACTGAGGTTTAGAAGTTAACAGAACACAACAATATAATTAAAGCCTTCTCTGTGATCAGAGAGCTTTCAATATGGAGCTACAGGTTGAGTCTGCCTGCTAATTTACACTGGCACACTGGCTGGATGGATGTGGATTTTACTTGATATTAAACATTAATAAACCAATATTAACTAATACGCAGCAGTGACAGATTATGAGCTGGATGTTAGGACCTATTAAACTATAAGCTCTTTATTTAAGTCGGTACCTCTGCTTTCTAATGGCTGACTGTGGTTTTGGCACAGTTAATGTGAAACTGTGAGTATGGCCTCCATTCGCACATGTGATCATCAGATTTAACATAAAAACAGCAGCGGATTTTGTTTGTTACCCCCCACAGACGAACAGTGACAAAGATATCCAATTTAAGGACAGCTCTGTCGTTGAGGGCATCACAGCGTCCACGCCGTTTTACTTTACTTTCTGTGGCAGCTGACAGGCGAAGAAGCTGCATCGACAAGCTGCCCTGAATCACTGCCTTGAAAAGGTCTCGTACACAGCCCGGTGTAAAAATAACTCTCCCTCTCTCTCATGACAAACTTGAAACAGGGAACACTAGACATGTGTAAAAGCGCAGCAGGGAGGAGGTGTGTGTGTGTGTATGTGTGTGTGTGTGCGCGCGTGTGTGCGCGCGTGCGTGCCTGCGTGCGTGCCTGCGTGCGTGTGCTCAGCAGACCAGGAACTGAGGGACTTTTCATTTTGGCTGATGTATGTTTCTTCCACACAGCTGGCTTGCCTGTGCAGCTGTTGTTGCAGATATTAGAAGCAGAGCCAGTTCAGTCTCTTCACAGATCAGAACTTGGCCAGTTTTGGTGGTTACACCCAGAGTCCAGAGCTGATCCAGGTCATGCAGGAACTGACTCTTGAGAGAGATCCTGTTACTGGCGGACGGCGTCTGCGCGGCAGTTTGTGTCAAAACTTTACTTTTCTGGCAGCACCGTTATAACAAAGGAAAATTCAATTAAAAAGAAAAGCCTCACGAACATTATCCCATCACCACCCAGCGCTCAAGACCTAATATAGCTCATTAATTAATTAATTAAACACTGAGCCCAATTAAGCAGCCCCATTAAGCACTACATTAAACAGCAGCTGGCGCATTATTTCCCCTTTGTAAGGACCATCATAATAAGGGAACATTATTACCTAAAACACTGGCTGAATCCACCAGAGACCACTGAAAAGCACCAAATTATTCAACACACTGGAAATGCATTAACCTAAAAGGACTGAGGCTGAATGACAAGTGAGCAAAATGAAGTGTTGGGTCAAGATGCTCACGGAAATGAATGAAATTGCCCAAAAAAAAAAAAAGAAAAAAAAAAAAAGAAAGTGGGATGCGTGGGCTGACTCTGCTAAACCTGGACACTCTGCAGAATCTGAGGGATCAACAGGGTATAGAGACGTAACCGCAGATCTGACGGGCACAGCTGACGATCAAAAACCTGTATACTGTGAATCCAAGTGCTCGGGTCGCTCAGGTCACATCTTCCATTTTGAGGACCCTTGTGTACTTAGCTGTAGACATCGTTTCAAAAAGGGACTCCTGTGTGTTCACTGCTCTCTGATAGCTGGATGTGAGGTCCTCCGTCCACAGTGGCTGTCTTGTTTTTGTGTCTTTGGCAGTACGGAACTGCGGTCACGGGAAGACGTGCTTGTTTGCCGAGTTGTGTGTTTTACGAGTGGTTTATGAGCCACTGTTCAGGTTCTTGTTCTCAAATGTGAGGCCGCTTTGCGCCAAAGCCAAACCACGTTAATGACCATGATCGCTAAATCAATCAGCAACAGATGAGGGCAGCAGCTGTCAACAAGAAGCACTTGAGCCGACTCTGTCCCACCACGACTATAACGTGTTAATGGGAAAATGAAACATTTCTATTTCATAATGCTCCACATAACACATGGGTCATATCAACAGTTAATATGGTAGTTTAAAACAGTACCGTCTACTCTACAGAACGCGTGGATTGTAAATATGACATCTGAGTTATGTTTGCATCATGAATTGTTTTCACAAGACTGTGCTTACAGACAGACAGACGCCACCAAGACAAACATAAGGTCCTGTATGAGTAGCGTGGCAGCAGGGCATAATAAAACATTTACACACCCATCAGTGCAAACAGTTTCAAAGGGCTGAAGTGCCTTATCTGAGAAGAGCTGCTGTGGTTTCTAAACTTCTGATGCCTATTTTTGAATTTTTAAAAAAAATATATATATATATATTATTATTGTGGTGTTCAGGAGAAGTTTCATCCTGACACCTTTAAAACCACACTGCACTGTCTTCTGATGCTGTTTCTCACAGGGTTCAGGCAGAATGTTACTATTTGAATAAAAGTCTGCACAGGAGGACAGTCAAACACACACACACACACACACACACACACACACACACACACACACACACACACACACACACAGACCCACATATGCACGCAGTGGAAAAACACTTTGGGCGTTTACCTGTTTTGGGATCCACGTCTGTCTGTAGGTGAGGTGGGGGGTTCCCCGGTGTGAAGTGCTCATTGCTGTAGGTGATCAGAGGTGTGAGAGGGTGCACATGGTGAGGGTGCTGTACCACTGGAACCTTATTAGACTGAGAGAGAGAAGAGGAAGATACAGAGGCAGATGGAGAGTAAGAGAGAGAGAAGTGGGGGGAGAGAACAAAAAAGAAAAAAGGAGGGAAAGGTGTTAATATTTGGGTGAAGGGTAAGAGATTGCAGGCGCCTGCCACAGAATTACAACTTGGTCTGAAAGCTCTCAAGAAGAAGAGCTATCATATTCTGGGTACTCTCGAGGCGCCAAACCACCAAGCCACAGTGAAAATAGTGTGGTTTGTAATTAAAAACACTTCTGCGGTGTCGCCCTGGAATTCAGTAACACAATCTAAGAGGCTTGGGGGGTTGCCAGTTCACATTTGGGCCTGATGTGTGATGAGGCACTTTTAACCACGGTTGCAGTGAAGTAATCGATCATCTGTAAACCACGAAATCAAGGCAGCGCGTGTAAATCCACAGTCATTAGCAGCTCCAGTCAGCACTCTCCTCCTCCTGGTCCTCCTCTCTTCCTCGCTCCCCTTCCCCTCATCTATTCCCCAAGGGCCCGGTTCATAGAGGGTAGGGGTGTATTGTAATAAAAGGGTTAGGAGAGAGGAGGTGGGGCTGAAAATCCATTTCTGCATTTTTGCCAAATTAGTTTTAGCTATGTAATCTTCTCTTTGTGCTCCTAAGTGGCGCAGGCCCCCTTTTTTCAATTACCCAAAGATTACAGTGGAGCTTTAGGGGTGTGCTGCCGTGGGCCCCTGCGTTAACCGGAGCTCAGCCCCTCTCATCAGGCCAGGCTGGGACAGACACTAATACACACAGTCCCCCGACCACAAGATAACCAGATTAGAGCTCTGCTGTAGATTAGGCTGGTGGCAGAGGCTGCTCTCGCCTCTTTACCCACACATCCTTATCCTGCCCTCAGCAGTCAAAGAAGCAGCACTAATCAGGCTTATCATAACATGGATGATATGTTCAGGGGGAGAGGAGTGAGACACCAAGCTGCTTGTGCGTGTGTGTGTGTGTGTGTGTATGTGTGTGTGTGTGTGTGTGTTCAGTCTGCTGTCTCATAGGCCACACACCCTCATTAGTGACTTTAACCCATGCAAGAAGAAGAAAAAAAAAAAAAAAGCTCCAGTGTGGCACATTTCCAACAGACTTTGAAAAACATTAATGGGACTAGATGTTGGCAGGGGGGCATACATGCATAAGATGCTCAGTTGCCCGATGCTCATTGACAATACAAATGCAAAGCTGCGGGCCCAGGGCGAGACAAATGTGAGCACAGCTTAATGCTGCAAACTAATCATGTGCCCGAGCTGTTTGAGGCTGAAGTTAATATCAGGCTCGTGTGAGAGACGAAAACACCAACAGTCCATTCAGATAGCACCCCCCTCCCCCCACGCTAAATTTTCACTGGGTAGTTAAAGCTGTCTATCTGTATGGTCTGTACAAGCCTGGCCATCTAGACCTCTTTTCTACAGTGACGGTGGTGGTGGGGGAGTGGGGTGGGGTGGGGGATGGTGAAGGGTGTGTGTGTGTGTGTGTGTGTGTGTGTGTGCGTGTGTGGGGGGGCATTCCCTTTTGCCATGGTCCCAATGAAAGATTAATGAACCCCAGCAGAACTCCAGGGAGGCAGAGAGACTCCTGGGACTCATTCACAGCCCTGAGCTGAAAAGGCTGGGGAGGAGAGAAGGAGAGAGGGGCTGGGGGAGTGTGTATATGTGTTTGTGTGTTGGAGGGGTGGAGGGGGGGTGGTGGGGTGGCGGTAGGCGGAATGGGATTCGTTAAAAAGAAACACAAACCAAGACACTTCTTGTTGCATAGGGGCTCCTGATCTGATCTGCACATCTAGAACAGAGGGATGAAAAAGAAAGAAGAAAAAAAAACTGGTAGAAAAACAATCAGGATGGAGGTTATGACAGCTGCCATATGCAGCCTGATGAGTCGGGCAGCTGAATGCTAGAAGATGGCCTCTGTCTCCCTCCCCTCTTTTTCTCTTGCCCCCCCCCCTTCCCTCACTCCTCTATCTCTCACCTCCTAACCTCCTCCTTCACGACTCCCCGCTCCTCCCTCGGGTAATGATGTGAAAGAATGTTGTCAATTCTTCATCTCTCGGTGGTGAAAAGCTTTAGTGGCCATTTAAATGAGTTCTTTTGTCCAGGGGCCCCGGCCATTGAGAAGACAGTTCAAAATGCCCATCCACTGAGTCCACATTTAGACAGAGGGTGTTAGAGAGGGTGTGTATGGGACTGAGAGAGAGAGAGAGAGGAGAGAGAGAGGAGAGAGAGAGAGAGAGAGAGAGAGACGCAGAGAGCTAGAAGCCAGCCGATTTACATCCTAGTCACTTGTGGTCTGAGAGTGTGCTCTTTTTTTTTTCCCCCTGAAAAGCCCAAAAAGTGAGGCAAACAGCAACAGGCTGGACCGACTGCTGCCTCCACGGTCGGCTCAGTCCACTGCAGACTCTGGACTGGATGTGAAAGCAAAACATAAACTCAAGTTTTGGTGCGTATGTTCTGGCTTCTGCTGTTCTCCAAGGAAAGACAGGTTGTTTAAAGATTTATCCCCCTTTCATATTCCCTGCTGACATGGGAGAAAATTCAAGAAATCCCCTGTGCCATCAGCCAAACTCACACCCACAGTGTTGATCACCCAGTGCGGATACGGTCAGTCAGCTGATGTGGACTTCCTGCGCTCTAACGTCCTCAATCAGCTCATGTGATCATCGCACACGCACTAGCATCAACTTTGCCCTCTCCCACCACCACCCCACCCCACCCCCACCCCACTGCTGACGTCAAGGCAGCACCCGGTGGTCTCTGCGGAAAGGAGGCCCAGCACCTGCCCTGTGGCCACCGCGGGACAATACGGGCCCGGGACTCAGGAGTCTGGCAGGCTGCTGGGTGCTTCAGCCGCACAGAGCCCACAGAGCGCCGAGAGACAAAAGCAGGCAACGTGGGAGGCTTTACTCTCCCTGCTCCACAAAAGCCAGGGGAAAAGAAAGAACATTTCCTGCCCCTACACCCCCGCTGACTTGCATCCTTCCCACCACCTCCATCATTACAACAAACAAATATAGCAGAAGACAAACAGACACACTCGCTCTGTAGTCATGATCACCAGATTTTTTCAAATCCTCAAAAAAGAGGTTTCGCATTCAAAAGACCCTGAAGAAAAATTTAAGAGCACACTCTTGTACGAACATCAATGAACACATTGACTCTTTCCATGTCCAGGACACATACGGCGCCTTCTGCTGAGGAGGGCCAGCGCTGTGAAGTGCAGGCAGCACACTTGATACAGCAGACACAAACAGAAGCAGTAGTTGCTGCCTCTGGTTATGTTATTGATATTGCCTTGGCTCTATTCTATTCTATCCTATTCTATTCTATGTCCGGCTGCAAGGCTGATATGCTCAAAGGAGAGGAAGCCTATGTGCATGAATGCATTTTGTTTTTTGTGTCATTGTGATCACTTCCTATTCACAGTGGAGCTTTTCAATACCTGTAAACAACCGCCACCAGTGTTTCTTCTCAGAACTACTGACATCACAACTCTGTAAGTGTGAAACTCGTGTCACAAGCGGTAGTGTGCTGGTATGACCAGAAAATTACTTCAATTGTCAAATATTTCCTATACTAGCAGGTGACTAATGCTGCTCTGCCACTGTGTGAAAAGAGCCTTTTGGAAGTGGACAAATGAATGAGCTGCTTCAAGTCAGACCTCTGGGGAGAGAGAGGGAGGGGGTGGTGGTGGGGTGGGGGGGTACAGGAGAAGGCAGAGCGGGTGAGAAAGTGACAGCAGGATGGAGTGAGACAAAGAGAGGGAGACAGAGAGGTGCGGGCCGGACAGGAAAAAGCTGTTGGCCTTGCATTTCCGCCTGGTGGCACCTCGCAGGGCCAATTTGAGCCCTAAATGTGAATGTGGCGACCTTGCAGGCCCAGGGGGTGAACGGGCGGAGGGGGGCGGGGGGCGGCTAGAACCTCTGTCTCTCTGCTTTATGTCATGATATGATGAGTTGTCACAACAGCTTGCGGGGCGCTAATGAGCTGTAGTGAGGCCGGGACAGGGAAGTGGAGGCCAGGGGAAGAGGGGAGAGAGATGTGGGGATGACAGTGCCGTGATGGATTGGGGTCCTCTCAGGCCTCCGGATTCCAAAGCAAGCAGAAAAAGCTGCCAGAGCGCCCTGAGCCTCTCCCAGAACGTGCAAGTGGCCCATGTCCAAGGCACATGGAGTGACACCACACAGAAAAAACACACACACACACAACAGCAACACTGAGGAGCTGGGGAAAGTGTCAGAGAAGAGTAATTTGTGTGTGCGAGTGTGTGCAAAAACAAAAAGTACAAACTGTGCTGCCACTGATCTTAATGAATCATCTGGTATCACTCAGAGTCGTCCTGTTGAAATCTGTTTACATACATGATTGCTGTTTTCCTTTGGGGAGTATAGAGTGCCCCCTCCAGGCTAAAGATCTTCATCTCCAAGCAAACCCCTTATCATACCAACTAATGTTTGCTCGCGCGCACACACACACACACACACACACACACACACACAGACACACACACACAAGGCCTGGTAGCACACGGTCAAATCAATCCTCAGATTCAAGCAGACAATCTAAAGGAATGCTTAGAGATTAACGGCAATGGAATATGAAACGTTCTGACAAATTAGAGCCTTATCAGAGCCACAATCCTGCAGCATAGCGCACTGATAAAAAAAAAAAAAAAAACCCTGCTACATTTCAGAAATAATATTTCTTGGTTAATCTTTGGAGGGGAGAAAAAACTCCACACAATATTAAGGACCTGGGAATTGTAGCGGGGGTTAAAAAGCAGATATGGAGGTGTTGATCAGTTTTCTCTTGCAGGGAAGATGCGTCTCTGAGGGCAAGGGGCTCCCGAGACCACAGTATATTTAAAAGTTAATCTATTCACTTTGCTGCAGTGACATGCCGACTGCTTGATCAGAGCGCTGAACAAAAATATTATGTGGGCCAGAGCCTTTGCTCCCCTTCCTCCTGCTCTCTTCGCTAGCACTCAAGTC